GCTCGTACATGGCTCCAGTTACTGGACAACATGGCGGCGACAGTGGATGTGGTCTGGCGGGTGCGCTTGAGAATGAGTCCCATTCAACAAGCACTCCGTCGACTTTGGGTGAACTCGGAAGATCTCGAGACTGTGCTCGAGACTCTGTAGTGGCTCATTACACACCTCCAGTGGTGGACCGTGGTCGGGAATCTGTCCCGGGGGCTCCCCCTCGACACCCCCGTTCCGTCTCTCACAGTTCAAACAGACGCGTCACTCTCCGGCTTGGGAGGCGTTCTGAATGATCACACTGCCTCGGGACTATGGTCCCAGCAGGAGATCAAACTGCATATCAATATGCTAGAACTGAGAGCGGTCAGGTTGGTGTTCCAACGCTTCCCGGATCTGCTTCGTGGCCAAGTGGTTCGTCTAGAGATGGACAACCAAACGGCGATGACTTACATCCGGAAGCAGGGGGGAACGGCGTCTCTGTCGCTTCGACAAAAGACGTGGCAGTTCCTACTATAGTGCAACTCTCACGATATCAGGGTGCTACCTGTTTATCTCCCAGGGGTGGACAACGTCCGTGCAGACTCTCTGTCTCTCCGGATCCTCGCTCCTCACAAGTGGAGGCTCGACCCGGGGATATTCGGGATTTTCTCCCTGTTATACAGGTCGTTACAAGTGGATCGGTTTGCGTCTGGGGTGAATCACCAGACACCAATGTTCTGCTCCCGAGTCACCGACCCGAGGTCGGTGGCACCGGACGCCTTCCTGCTAGATTGGACGGACAGTTCTGTGGGCATTCCCCTAAGTACCTCTGATTTCCAAGGTCCTGTCTCAGCTAGGCACTCAGCCTGCGCGACTAATTGTGCTCCTGGCACCTCTTTAGTCGGCGCAGAGTTGGTTTCCAGTAATACTCAGGTTTCTGGCTCAGCCTCCTGTTATATTACCTTTACGACCGGACCTCCTATCCCAGAACGGGGCCCTCCACCCGAATCCCAGGATTCAATGGGTGGCTTGGCCACTGTCATGAATCGCCTTCAGAAGAGCGGTATTCCTGCACGAGTTGCAGACACAATACTGGCTTCGCGGAGGGATGCGACAAACGTTCAGTACAAGGATAGATAGGCCTGCTATGCACGCATGTGTGTCGATAGAGGGATTGCAGATCTTTTTTCTGCAGATCTCGTAGTGGTGCTTGAGTTCCTCCAGTCGCGACTAGATGACAGCCTGGCCACATCAACAGTCCGAGGGTACTCTACAGCTATCACAGCTTTTCACGTCCCTGTCGACGGGGCACTTCTGGGTGCACACCCATTAGTGCAGCGCTTTTTAGCAGGTGTGGACAGGATCCGACCGCCAGTCCGGCGGATCTGTCCCCCTTGGGACTTGTCAATCATTCTCGATTGGCTTTACGGTCCTTCCTTTTGGGATCTGTCGTCTCTCTCTCTTCAGCTGTTGAGCTGGAAGACGGCGTTCCTTGTGGCGGTAACGTCCAGCAGACGGGTAGGCGACATTCGTGTTATGTCAGCCGATCCCGATATAACTGTCTTCCACCGGGGCAGTTTTCGACTACCGGACTCTTACCGTCCTAAGGTCGCACACGCCTTCCACGTGAACGGCTCATATTGAGCTACCTGCTCTTTCACAGCCTTCCTCGTCGGGGACCACTGCAAGACATGCTGTCCGCAGGACCCTCAAGGCCTATATTAGCAGAACTATTTTGCTGTTACGGCGGTAGGAAGGCTGGCTCACCTGCGAGCAAACAATCTATCTTGAGGTGGATAGTTTCAACCATTTGTACAGCGTATACGCTTACAGGCAGAGACCCCCCTATCAGGTTGAAGGCTTAGAGCAGTGGCTACGTCACAAGCGTACGCCGAGGCTCTGCCCATTGAGGAGATCTGCTCCGCAGCTGTTTGGAGCCAGCCGAGCACGTTCATCAAACATTACCAACTCGACAAACACTCAAGCGAGCGTGCTCGGTTTGGTCAGTCAGTTCTCCCAATTCGGCAAAGTTCTAATCTCTAGCCGATTGAGCATTCGAAATTTTAGACAGTCCTCCGGTTATACTGCTCAGTAATGGTCCGGATTTTATCTTCTGCGGTCGATAAATATCAGTCCTTACTAATCGATAATACTCGTATTTTGCACACGCACTCCTTCGATCCTCGGGGACCCTCTGGCCTAGCTCAGCACGGGTTATAGTCTCTCGTGATCTACACCCCTATATCACTTGTTCCAAAAAAGTGTTGGGGGGTGGGGAGTGTTTCGAGTTCTCAACTTATGACAAGCCGCAAAAACAGGCTTTATCAAAATATATGGTCGACCACGCCCTGTCTTTAGCCCCCGCCTTTCAACGGTGGTGTCTCACGATAAGGTTGGTTCCATTTATTGAACTCAATATTTTATTCTGTTGAATAATCAAAAACGATGTATTTATTTAAGCCTGTTGCTGACGGATGCCACTTCCTAGGTTATCTTTGGGAGTCTGTCTTGATGCAATAAGTGCCCCAAGGAGGATTTAATCTGAAGAGAATTTTACAAACCTGTAGAGGTTATGAATTCTCTGATGAAATCCTCCTTGGGGCACGGCCACCCACCTCCCCACATTCCGTCAGCATTTGACATATGGAAAGTGATTTGGGTGAGAGTTGCTCCCCCTGGCGTGAGGCGCCGTGGGGGGTGAGGCCCCCTAAGGGTGGTCGTATATCATACAAAAACAAAGTTTTTTGTGTGGTAACATTTTTTATTAAGGAAAATGGTTACAGCTATGTCATGTAGATTTTCTTGAGCAAGGAAAATGCAATAAGTGCCCCAAGGAGGATTTCATCAGAGAATTCATAACCTCTACAGGTTTGTAAAAATTTTAACATTTTGACCAGTTATCATTGTGGGCCCTTATTGTGTATTTTAACAGTAATGGCCACGTATTGTCTTCAGATAACACCCGTTTTTGTGCAGGTAAATCGATCAATATCATGTGCACAGCGCTATAGTGGCAAAAGTGTTTTTTCAAGTGCAACTGGTCACGTGGCCATAATACTGCACGTTTTCAGCCATACTTGTTAGAAGTCATTAACAAAAAAAGAAAAAACACAAGAAAACAAAAGTCTTTACGGCCATTTGTCATGCCACGCCTTTCAAAGGTGCAACGTGAACGTGCCATCGGCATGTTGCAGACGGGAACGTCCTTAGCTGAAGTCGCAAGGACGATGGGTTGTGGTCGATGGACTGTTTATGATTTACAGACGCATCTACAGCAAACGTGTACCACTGCTGATCGGCCTCGTCCAGGTCGACCACGTGTGACGTCACATGCAGAGGATCGTCAGATTGTCTTACGTCACCTCAGTAACCGATTTTTGACGGCTACATCAACCAGAAATGAACTGTTTAGGATAGACTGAGTGCGCAAACTGTTCGAAACAGTCTGAGAACTGCTCACCTTCAAGCACGACGGCCATACTGCGGGCCGATTCTGACTCAATTACACAGACGTCAACGTCAATTGTGGGCACAGCGACACTTACGATGACACTTACGATGGACTCAGAGGAATTGGAATCAAGTCGTCTTCAGTGATGAATCCTGATTTAATCATTGATTTGCGAGGGTGTGGAGGCGCCGTCATGAACGTTACGCCCAGTGTTGTGTACAGGAAGTTGACAGATTTCGGGGGGAATTGTCATGGTGTGGGGTGCTTTCTGTGGCAATGCACGTTCCAGGCTTCTTGTCATCCGTGGCCACCTCAACGCTGCTGCTTACCGTGACCAGGTACTGGCACCAGAATTTCTGCCTTTTATGGCAGCACATGGACCCGGTTTGATCTTCCAACGCGACAGTGCCAGACCCCACACAGCAATTTTTACAAGGAATTTCCTTCAGAATGCGGGAGTCAACGTCATGGACTGGCCGTCAAGGTCTCCCGACCTCAATCCCATCGAACACGTCTGGAAAGCTCTTGGCAGAAGTCTGCGCACTCTCCAGAACCAACCACAGAATTTGCAAGATCTTGGCACCATTTTGCAGCAACAATGGCATCATCTTCCCAATCATGTGTTCACAAGCATCACAAGGTCCATGCAGAGGAGTTGTGTGGCAGTTGTCAACGTACATGGTGGCCATACACGCTACTGAACTTGTGATTCTCGTGCTTGGGACTTATGATTTAAACTGTTGCTGTTATTACCGAATACCGTAGGTGCTTGGAACAAATTATGGTTACCACCGTTAATGAAAATCCTTCTTTGGACATTAATGATTAAAAATAACCTTCTCTGATACATTTGTCCGTTGTATATCATATATGAGATTATTTTTAAAAATGTGAAGTATTTAATTGGACAACTAACTTGGGCCACCGCAAGAGAGATATGGAATCCCTTTATGTACAGAATTGAGCATTTGATGTAAAACGTATTTTGACAACTATCGGTTATGGTGAAATGTGGTATAAGCAAGAGTGGGATATTAGTCATTTAACCTTAATTAAACAGAGAATTATAGATCATGCCTTGCAGTTAATTTGAAGTCATTTGACAAGTTCTTCGAAAAGTATCATGTATAATTATCTTTGGACGTCTATCCCTTCTGTGTACATAAAATATTTTCTTCATACAATATGCTCTAGAAACTGGAAGGTATCAGCATATATTAATGTTCAAGAGGGAAAAGGCATAACTTGTCCCAGTGACATTGAAGGAGAATTTCAGTTTGTACTCAAGTGTCCACTCTATGCTGATATAGGAAAATGTCAATCAAACAATATTGTTTGGACTACCCTTCAGTCTTTAAAATTGTAAAATTATTTAGCATTCAGGTTTTTAAGCAGCAATGTCACCTTGGTAAAAATTTTTGATGATGAATTATTGTGGAAAGTTACACCTTAAATTTGATCTGGTATTGACAGATTCCACTGTATTTTTCTGTGGGCTGTAGTCTCTGATGTCATGTGTTTTTGATGAATATGTTATTTTATGTTTTCTCATTATTACAATTGATGATTTTTTTTTCAGATATTAATCATCGTATTCTGAGATTTAAGAACTACATGATTGCAATGGTGAACAAGTCAGTTCTTCCCCTGAAGTTCCACGTCCCTCTGCTGGGAGAAAGGTATGTTACCTTAATACATTAGTGTCATATATGCTACCCTTTGCAAAGATTCTATATATGATACAACATTAGGACTCCTACTTGTTATCCCCCGCCACGAAGTGGAAGGGTGATATAGGAATGGGTGCTGTCCGTCCTTCCGTCTGTCCTTCCATCCGTCACATTTCATTTCCGGCGCAGATCTTGAAAACTGTACCATATTTCTTCACCAAACTTGGCACATAGATAGGTCTAGTGGTGGCAACAACTTTGACTTCGACTGAAAATGGCAGATCTTTCCGAAGCAGATCTTTAAAATCGTACCATATTTCTTCACCAAACTTGGCACATAGAGAGGTCTAGTGGTGAACTGGTGCCTTTTGATAGTTTGGGATTTAAAAAACAAAACAAATTCGAGTTTCCATGGCAACAACTTTGACTTCGACTGAAAATGGCAGTAGTCCTCGTTTCCGGAGCAGATCTTGAAAACCAAATCATATTTCTTCACCAAACTTGGCACATAATGTCATCTCGCAGTATTGAATACCTTTTCCTTCTCGCTGGTAAGTTCTGCATTGCTTGTGTGTATGTTCCTCCAAAAGTGTCATGGACACGGTTGTTGCATTCATTGACTAACTTCATGCCGAAACACAACTCATTATAAATACAACAGTGTAACTGATCTCAAACCTACTCAACTGTATAAACACTGCCTCGTATCCTGTATATTCGTGTCACCCATACTCTGTACTTCACTTGCTTGATATCGGTGTTAGAACCTACACCGAAAAAATCGCTCCTAATTGTAATAAAGAAATTGTTCATCCATATGTCTCATCCTTACTCATTACAAATACAGTTACATATTCTATCATAAACAGCAGGTAGCAAAACAACACCTATAATAACCTTTTTTAGTGCTTCAATTGGGCCATTTACAAAAAGGCCCAGTGAACATAGTTCACAGGAGCTAATGCATTGCACACAACTGGACATGTCATATTGGCGGGGGATATGAGTATTTCATGCTTGTTGATAACTAAGTTAATATTTTAAAACTCTCGCCAAAATGAAATTCAAGTGGCCATGCAAATTCACACTTCCTAATACATGTAAAATTGGCTGTAACATTACCTATTATTTTGATGAATAAAAGATTATTTTAATTTGAAACGTGTTTTTTGTTGTGTTTTTTTTTTCTACCTATACAATATGCCGTATTAAGTTTAATCTTCAGTTCATCCACATCTTTTGCTTCAGTTTGGTATCTACTGCATGAAATTGCAGCTTGATAGCTAATTTAGAAATGGACGTTTCTAAATGTTCTATGTCTGTAAGAATCACTGTGCGCATTAATATTCTTTTGATTAAACTTCTCACTGCTGTTAAACAAAATCATTGTTTCCTGCAATAGATCACAAAACATTGTATATGACAATTTGTGGTATCACAACCAGTCAAATTGCTAAAAACTCCTTAAAATACACATGATGGAACATTCACCTGTCAACATTCAACTTCTGATTTCTTTTCTTGGTAGAGGTTCAGTCACTAACTTGAAAATATGATGTACATTGTAAATCCTTTCCTTTTGAATTTCCTTTCAAATCGACAGGAGTCGCCATGTTTACGCGTCTTCTACACAAGGATTCCATATTGTGCTGGATAAGACAAAATAAACAAGAGTTACTGTATATCGCCGTCTATAAAGTGACCCCCCCCACCCATACGAGCCTTCAAAATTGATGCTAATTTATATACCCTGCTAAAAAAGCAATCAGAATGAAGCACGGCAACGGCGCATACACAATCCCTACTTTGGCAATAGAAATGTGTTTGTCTTCCGCAAAACAAAACAACTGGATTGGGTGCTGTTGGAGTCGACTCCTTGAGGTCAAGTCCTGCGCTGATGTCAGGAGGCCCAAGATCGCTTGTATCTGACACAGCGTGTGTGATTGGTGAAGGGCTGGGAACAGGTGAAGTTGGATTCGATCCCACCTGTCCCTGGGTACAGAGGATGTCTTGATCGGTTTGGAAGAGACCCCCAATGAATTGGATACAGAATGAAGGAGTTCTGACTTCCATAGGTTGATTAGCCATCCTATTTGGAGTAGGAGGCGTTGCGTCAAGTCCCTGTGACGAAGTAGCATGGCCTTGTCCTTGTGGTTCAGGAGGCAGTCGTCTTTATACCCCTCGAACTCGACACCCCTCATGTGAGGGAACGATGCTATCATGTTGGTGATACATGTAATTAGCCACGGGGCCGAAGAAATTCCAAATGTGAGGACCGTCCATTAATAGTGGACTCCCATGAAGATGAATTAGAGGAATTTCCTGTCATCGGGGTGGATCAGGCCATGGAGGTACAGATGTCCAGGCTGATGAGGCCATAGAAAGCCTGCATCCTGGTCCGGAGGAGCCTGAACATGGTCATCCTGAAGTAGGGTGGATGTGCCAGGTAACACTTGTTGAAGGTGGCGAGATTGTGAATCGTTAGGAATTGGTCTGAGCCAATTGGTCTTATATTTATGAAGAGAAACCTGGTGTTATGGCTGGGGAGTGTACATTTTCTATGGTCTATTTGGCCAGTAGCGTCTCGTTGTTTGAGCATAGTAGCTGCTTTTGAGTAGAGGGGTAGGTGTCCGCTATGGGTGACAACATGAGAGGTGGTCGTCTATCAGTGTGAGCCTGTACCCGTGGCGGAGGATGTTGGTGATGTAAGGGTCCCCCAGGAATTCCCAATTCTGCCAAAATCTGCATAGTCTTCCACCTACAGGGGTGTCAACAACTTGAACGACTAGGGTTGGGAGGTCCCAGTCATGAGTGTCTGTCGCTTCACTTTTGGTCCCTGTGATCACCGCTCCCTCCCCTGGATTGGTCTCGTCCCTGGTACGAGCTAGAGGGCGTGCCTTTTCCTCTGGATTTACCCAGAAAGGATGCCGCAGGTTCTGGCCACGAGGCTGCAGTGATTTACGCCTGGGCTGATAGATGCTGGACTTCGTTGCCTTGAAGGAGGCAGACTAAGACACATGGTGAAAGCTGAGACCCTTGCGTGTGTCTTTGAAACTTGGCCATTGAACAACGAGGTGGACGACCATGGCTGCCAGAGGAGGTCCTTCTTGAACTCTGGGTCCCAGTGAGACAGGGCGAGGTAATTGAAATGACATGTAGTAGTTATCTCGCATGTGTGTCCTCATGTGCTCCGTTTGTCACTGAATATCAGTTCTGACAAGTGACCGTTTTTGTTGACACTGTATACTGTTGACTACTTTTCAAGGTGAGCTACAGTGATGGGGCACTTTTTTATTGTTTATGTGTTAGAGGTACTTTGACATAACTTTGTTAACATGGTTAAGGAAGCTACAGGCATTGGACTTTCTGTTTGAAACTTGTACTCCATAGTTAATGTCAAGTGAGACCAAACTTCTGATATCATAAGTCATAATAATCAAATTTCTATGAGTAGCCTATGCTATATTTTCATTGTTACACTGAATTCGCACTTGGGTCATCATATTTGGTTTATGAATATGTTGGATATATTGCCCTTTGGAATGTTCCTGAAATACTTGAAACTGATATAGAAGGTCAAATTCATTCTCTCCTCACCATACAGGCTATTTGCCATTCAAAAGCACACTTGCATGTTGACCTCTTATAATATTATATTTGCATCCCAGGACGGAAGGTTCAGTTTTGACATTGTTTGAGGTGTCATTGATAGATACTACTGTTGTTGTATAAGATGGAAAACTAACAATTTTTAAACTAATTCTATCTCACACTATGCATTCCTCTTTACTTTTTGATCATGGCATGCAAACGTTCTAGAAAGAAGTTTCCAGCTTAAAACAATCCCAACTCTACCATCACTGAGTTCATGGGTCACGCACCACCGCAATCCCGTGGTGGTTCATTCTCTTTCTTATCGCCTGGCTGAAAGGATGTTCTTAGAACCGAGAATACATTTGTTCTTAATCTAAATTTTACAACCGCTACAAGTTACCTACTTAATGAAGCTTGCCAATGGAGCTGTCACAGCCTCTCTGTGAAGTATGTAGGCGACTTTATTCTCCTCACGACCCCCATTCTGATGGTCGTGCTTGTCATGGTGTCTGTGCTACGGATTATAGATATCAGAAATGTTGTAAACTTTATTAAAGAAAAGTGGTAAGGAATGCTGACCGCTGGAGTTCTACTACTTCATGACATGCCTCTTCTCACACCTCTTGACTTGCAAAGGCTGCTGTGCGACAATGTGGGTTCTTAGAGCTTCCAGACCCTCCATACCCGCAAGACCTGGCACCAAGTGCTTTCCACCTTTCAACACGATGACCTCAAAGCTGCCTTGAATGGGTATTTCAGGGTGGCTTTAGAAAACTTCGTCCTAACTGAAATTGAAAAGCTTCACTATCGATATGAGAAGTGTATTGCAAGATTATATTGAAAAATAAAATTAAAAACACTTTCACAATTGTTGGTTTTGTTTGTTTGGTGTAGAACTTTTTGACCAGCACTTGTAGTAGTGATGCATGGGATGTGTTGGGTGAGTTGTTTGTTTCAAGCTGGAAACTTGGTTCTAGGACATTTCCATGCCAATTTTCAACATGTGTGTCAGAACCAGACTTGGCCATGTATTTTTTAATGCTATTCCCATGTAGATACTGGTGCCATAACATTTGCATATATGTGTCAGGTACTTACCTTAGAGTTTATCTTTTGTGAAACAATTATCAAGGAAGAGGTGTATTTTAATTATTCATTTGTTTTGACAGCACGTTTTTGAGCACTGGCCTGAAATATAACCTGGAATTTATCCTGTTCTGTAAGTATTACTTTTTTTAATGTTTTATTGATGTTACCAATATATACTGAACCGCATAAGAAGCGTACCATGGATAGATATATGAGAAACCTTATTTGTCCAAACACTGTAAACATACTTTGAGACATATTAAAAAGATGAAACTTGGCAAAACTGACCATCAAGGCTGAAATTAAAGTGTCAAATGTTCTTAAAGTGAAACACAACACTAGTCTCTGAGAAAATGGCATCACAAGTCAGTATCTCGTGTGTCCTCCATGTGCATTGATGACTGCCGTGCAACATCAAGACATGGATGAGGAGGTTGATGAAGGCCATAGGCACTTGAGCCCACACTCTGAGGAACGACTGACGCAGTACAGCTGCAGTTGTCGGCCTTGGTCAGACATCATTCAGCCGTCTTTGAATCTCGTCCCACAGGTGCTCATTGGGATTTAAATCGGGACTGAGGGCAGGCCACTGCATGGTTCTGATGCCATTCTGCCAGAGGAAGTCTCTTGTTGCTCTCGCAGTGTGGGCATTCGCGTTATCATGCTGAAACTCGTGGTTGCGGCGACGTGCCAAATGAGGTATGGCGTGTGGTCTCAAGATTTGATCAATGTACCGAGCTGCAGTGACACCATTGCCTCTCCCTGGACCGGTGTTCTGGAAGACCACAGGGCCAACCCTCTGTGTAAGACCAATTCAACCCCACACCATGATGTGACCACACGAGTCTCTCTCAAAAACACAAGCATCCGAATAATGTTCCCCACAGCGTCGCCAGTCTCTCTCGCTGCCATCTGCTGTTGAGATACAGTAAAAGCGTTTGTCTGAGAAGAGGACTCTTCTCCACTGCTGGTGGCGCGAATGCTGGTGCTGTGTTGCCCACTGAAGACGGTCCTGGCGATGACGTGGTGTCAGAATGGTTCTTCGGTGTGGCCTGTGACAGTGGAGGTGTCTACTCGTCAAATGTCATCGCACGATGTCCGCACTAATGTGTCGCTGGTGTGTCCCCATGATCTGTCGAGCAGTTTCTGCAGCAGTAACAAAGCGATCTTGAATATGCTGTCGCACAATCTGACGATCCTGACGTGGGGAAGTGACCCTTGGTCTTCCACTATGTTGTCGGTCAAAAGTAGTGTTGGTGGTCTGGTACTGTTGCTGGAGCCTGTATATGGTCCTTACGTGGTCCTTACGTGGTCCTAAAATGCATCTGTCGAGCACTTTTGAGCAGTTTCCGGAACCTGTATATGGTGGACGTGAAATGCATAGGCTACGGTTTGTCCAGCTTGCAATTGTCCAAGGGCTTTGTGTCGCTGATTTCTTGTCAATCTTGACAATGTTATCCGATCTATGTGGATTTTTATAGGGCAAGAAATGGGGTAACACAAGTGCAGTTCAATTTGCACGGAACTCATGTGCATCGGGTATCAAAGCCGTTGCCGTGATGCGTTTGGGCGATCGGTTTATTGTCATCTGTTTTGTTTTTTTATCATCAAATTTCATTTTTCCGGACAAGGTATAAATGTTAAATTTTAGAAACTTTGACAAAAATTACCCAGATGATTAAATGACAACTTTTTTTGCAATGTTACTTGGGGTGATGTTTCTTTGTGGTTCAGTTTATAATTATAATAAATATTATAATTTATAATATCATTATTGATTATCCAATGTATTTTGTTGGGATAAATACCCTTGACCCATTCGCCACCATCGTCCTGAGAGCCTTATTTGAAACTCACAGGACTAGAAATAACAACCCAAATATATTACTCTTATGAATGTGAAAAGAAATGGTTTGGGATATGAGTGGTATTGTTGCTGATGTCATTTCCCAAATGAAGGTGTTGTTGTGAATGTCCAGGGTATTTATTATGATAATAGAATGTACATGTAATACACCGGATAATTGAGGATGTTATGTTGTAAGAAAGAGAAATATTCATGCATGAGCTCCTATGCCATCAAAACATTTGTGTTATGATGGATGCATATCATTACAATCTATGCAAGTTAGATTTGTACAAATGAGTTAACTACAGAAAAACTGTAATAAACTCCAAGTGACTGTTGAAATTGATTCCTCATATCTGTAGCTTGTTACTCACAAAATCTTGTCCGCCGTTTCGTATTTGTCAAAATGAACAAGCCTTGAACTGGACATTAGCCGTCAGAGATTCAAGGTCTTTCTTTCATTCCTTTAAGAATTCTTTGTGTATGTTTTAACTAAATAACCCACAGGGGAGAAATTTTTCATGTGTGGACAGCTGATTGCTATTTCCGGCTTGTGTTACGAAACAATTACACACGTAATCCTAATATGTGTGTATAAAACAATGTTTAGCATACAGTATACAAATACCATTCAAATTGTTAATCATCATGTCTAGTGATGTTTTATTGCAAATTTCACATTGACCAAGTTGACAAGAAGCAAAACAAGCACACAAACTCCATGACCTTATTAAACAGTTGTGCAGTAAAACAGGGCACATGTAGAGGGAATTAACCACATGATATTTTGGATCGCGTTATTATCCCCCGCCCAAAAATGTGGAAGGGGGATATAGGAATGGGTGCCGTCCATCCGGCCGTCCTTCCGTCTGGCCGTCCTTCCGTCCTTCCGTCACACTTCGTTTCCGGAGCAGATCTTGAAAACTGTACCATATTTCTTCACCAAACTTGGCACATAGATAGATCTAGTGGTGAACTGGTGCCTTTTGATAGTTTGGGATTTAAAAAAAAAATATTTTTCGACTTCCATGACAACGACTTTGATTTAGACTGAAAATGGCAGTAGTCCTCGTTTCCGGAGCAGATCTTGAAAACCGTACCATATTTCTTCGTCATACTTTGCACATAGATAGGTCTAGTGGTGAACTGGTACCTTTTGATAGTTTGGGATTTTAAAAAAAGTTATTTTTCGAGTTTCCATGGCAACGACTTTGATTTAGACTGAAAATGGCGGTTGTCCTCGTTTCCGGAGCAGATCTTGAAAACCGTACCATTTTTCTTCACCATACTTGGCACATAGATAGGTCTAGTGGTGAACTGGTACCTTTTGATAGTTTGGGATTTTAAAAAAAGTGATTTTTCGAGTTTCCATGGCAACGACTTTGATTTAGACTGAAAATAGCGGTAGTCCTCGTTTCCGGAACAGATCTTGAAAACCGTACCATTTTTTTCACCATATTTTGCACATTGATTGGTCTAGTGGTGAACTGGTGCCTTTGGATAGTTTTTTTTTTTTTTTTAAGAGTTATTTTTCGAGTTTCCATGGCAACAACTTTGATTTAGACTAAAAAGGGAGGTAGGCCTCGTTTCTGGAGCAGATCTTGAAAAACGTAGTATATTTCTTTACAAAAAGGCCCAGTGAACATAGTTCACAGGAGCAAATGCAATGCACACCCGACATGTCATATTGGCGGGGGATGTGAGTATTTCATGCTTGTTTCTATTGTTGCGACATTTCACTGCCAGGGTCATGTGTTCAAGGCGTGTAATATTTATTGATTTTTATTTTTTTCAAAAGTGAAATGTAACAGAAACTAACCTGTGCAGTGGATTTAATGATGATGGACCTGTACCTGAGAAACAATACTATTTTATTTAAGCCTTCTATTTAAATTTGCCAATTATCAGTGATCTTATGTCCTGTAACAATAATGTATCCTGTGCCAGCTAGGCTTGTCCACATTTCGGTTGTTTTAGCAATGCTTTCCTTGCTTAGGATCAACAGTAGTTCTGATTTTTTAACTTATCCTGCATTGCTACTTAATGCATTTACTGCTTGTTTTTGAGAGAGCTTGAAAGGCTTCTTGCTGAAGACGAAGTTGTTCCAACTGGTTGTGTGGCTAACCCTATCACAAAGCTCCCATGTAAACCTGGAAGTAGTGACATCACTAAGTCATAGCTACTTGAATCTTTTGAGGGTTTTCTACTCCATTGTTATTCTTGTGAATTATTATGTTTCCCTCGGTTTGTGACTTCATATATTTCATATGATTTTTGTCATCGCAATAATATTTATTGCCTGGTGTGGTGTTTTTACTACAGTAATTTTCAGGTGTATTGTTGTTCCAATCTTGAATTCACCTCGTATTCACGTATTGTTGTGGCATGCGTTCTGTATTCATTGTGTTGCTTGGTACTGCAATTTATTGTCGCACCCTAGTGATATTATTATGAAACTGGTGTTTTTTTTGTGTTGCTTGCGTTAACTTTTTATTCATAAACTTGGATAATGATAATAGCATATATGATGGGTAGGGACACATTTTGATTACATTCTGCTGTTATTGCAGATACATTCCTGCTACTACCTCCTCCCACTCCCATATCCCTCTGGCGTTCACCGCCATGCCGTTATCTTCGGCAGGGACGATCACAACCTCCTCCCCACATAATCATACTCATCCTGTTACTGTTAATGTGTCACTGGCGTGTCATCCACGCTCTCATCGTTGAATTATACATCCTCATCATCCACAGTGGCGCCTGGCGTGGCACTCAGTAATTTGAGACCCTCTCTACGGGTATTGTCCCAGTTCACCACGGTGCCTCTCCAGCCGCCTCCAACGCCCTCCATGGATGAGTCTTGGTTCTAAAGCATCATGCAGTCCATGTTTCAACAACCTATGACTAGATACACAGCTTCTCCACAGCATCTAATACGCTCTTGGCCCCTCCAGCGCCTTGGACCTTGGTGGCGCCTCAATGACACACCCTTCATCTTCCTTCGGCTCAGCCTCTCCTATTTCTTTGGACATTGCTGACATGGCTAACATTTTCGATGACGACCTCCACCTCATGACCGGTTCTAACCACTCTCCACCATCTGTGTTCCCGACAGTTGGCTGGCCTTTTTCGAATTGGCCCCTCTATTAAGGCTCTCTTGATCATGGCCTCCACCTTGAGACCCATTCTTCAAGACTTGTCAGAGGACAATCCTAACTGGCTCGACAACCTGACCACAGTCATAGCGTACCAACAACGCCAGATTGACCATATGTGGG